AAAAAAAAAAAAAAAAGTTTTGTACAGTGTACACGTTTTTCTTCATAATAATAGATATTTATTTAACTAATAATCTTCCTATTATTCCAAACGCCTTTTAATGGACCTAAGGGAAGTGCAATACTTATATGAATTGGTCGAATCTTTTAAATACTTCGAGAAAAATTAACGTTTTCCTTACATAAAATTTAAAGCAATACCAGCACTAAGTAATGCCCGTTGGAATTCTAGAGCTTTTTTGGCACTTTTAGCCTTTATACTTATTCTTGAATATCGTTTGCAATTATATCCTATTTGTAAGTTTGTGTGCGGTGCTTGGAGCGAAATCTGGTTTTCCGATCATACTTTCAACAAACTTAATTTCGCCACACTACAGAAATCATTGGCCTTCTCCACAAAAGCAAATGAATGTTTTCTCAGACATTGGGTAAATAAACATCAAGAAAGTTCAGCGAAGTAACATCTGCGCAGAGCGTGCAATTAAAATTGTGCAAGACATTTTACCATTGTGTAAATCATCACATACTTCAAACTTAAAACTTATTTCATGTAACAATTGACAAAAATGGAAAAATAAAAATATTAAACATTTTTTTTTTTTAATTTTAATTTTTTATAGAAATCCATTTTTGCGCGGAACGTTTCACCTAAAAAAGTGATATTCATTACTTGTACAATATTTGCCACCACGTGGTGGTATGCCAAATTTTTCGTCAAAATTTGTTATATGCCTAATGTACATATGTATGTATGTACGTATTTACCATCCCTGCTCCTTTTATGCTATTGCGATCACAAGTAACCCAATAAACTGTACTGTTGATAAATCGAAATTTTACAAGTTTTATTAGTTTTTTTTATATAATATGTGAGTATATCGGGTTAAGGGATTATCTGACCAATAGTTTAAGTAAGATATGATCATTCATAATTTCGTCGAATAACAAATTTTAGATCCCTTTAGATTTTAGTCATAGACTTGCAACATTTAGATATAATAAATTAATGAGAAAACGAAAAAATAATTTATCTTCCCAATTAGTAAGGGCTTAGATGAGAAGGGAGGCTTTTGTTAGTAAGTGCTACAATATGTAGTTTTTTACTTTATAAATTATATTTTCAACTGAAGTTCTGATGAAAAATACCCAGTATTCTTTGCTGTGAAGCTATGATGTTCCAAATATCTTCGCTCGAAACATCAGGACCTCTATAGATATTGAGAAGAGCAAAGTTGTTCAATCTGTCGTCGACCTTTCACTTGGAGAAGTTGATACTGATAGAGTTGCAGCGATCTGCAGATATCGATGCACAGTTGGGTAGAATTTTTTGTTGAAAATATTTAGGGTTTCGTGAATATACAAGTATACTTAATATGTTGAATGGCCGAGGGCCAAGGGCCAATGCTCGAGGCTAGAGACTCGTTCTTCGAGCGACGTTTTCCGTAATAACCAAGGGAAAACAAAGAAGGTAAGATAGCGTTCATAACATTCGTTATCTCATCATTCGAATGACGATGCGAAATAAGAAGAAAGGCCCCACTCTAGTACAATCAAATTACGGTTCGAGAGATCGTTAATTACTTTATTCTGTGTTTGTATGGATTAGCTACAGTTGCCTATCAGTGCATGCACGCACGAGAATTTGTTCGACACGAGGCAGAAATTTAATGCGAGACATATGTACACACGTACACACGAGTCCGCACGATTTTTCGATTACCCTTAGTGACGCTGACGAGCGCGCCCACGAATTTCTCCCTTACTTCATATATGCAATATCCAGAATAACTGCGACTGAAATGAAACTAAAATATAAATTTTTCATTATTGTATAATCTATATACGAAAATTTTCAAATATTTCTTGCACAGATAATGAAACTTCAACTAGAAATAAATATTTTAAGATCGATATTAGCAAAATAGAATATTGTTTGGGGTAAAATAATTAATCATTGCTACAACAACTCTCATTTTGAGTACGCCCATATTAAATCTCCTAAAAATGCATAAATAATAGACATAATATATCCATAATATGTATAATATAATATAAATTCAATCTCATTGAATTCGGTATGACAATCATCCCCTAATTTTCTACACTTTATGTCAGATTGTTAAAATAGTTTCTCATTTTATACATAATGTTTGTTTTTTTAGGGAAGCGATGTTTCGGGAAGTGAAACTCATGCATTTGATGACATCAATAATCTCATGGAGGTAAATATACATATAAATCAATGCAATTTAAGTTAATGGGTATGCCAAAACTATGTCAGAATTTCACTGCGTTAAGTAATGAACGGGTATTCAAAATGCGCAAATCAATTGAAATATAAATTTATTTGAAACCATGTATTTGCTAAAACGATAAATGAACCAGATTTTCTGAAAAATATAAAAATAATTGTGTATAGTAAACATGTAGGTATGTATATTAAAAGATTTATAAGTTAAATACATATGTATGTATATTGGGCAGTCGAAAAGTCTTTCGTATGTTGTCAATAGATGTCGTTGCAGTCGTACATCTCCAGTGCTACCAAGCATTGCAACAAAATTAATTAAATGAAAATTTATGTGCTTGCAACTCTGACATATGCATACACACATATACATGTACACATATACATGTACACATATGTATGTGCTTTCTAATTGAAAAAAAAAAACTAAACTTAACACTAGAACTACCGAGACCGCCATTTTGACGGGTTTCAAATTACATGTTTAAAAATTTGATTAATTTTTATATAATTGTTCCAGAGTTTTATTACGACTTTTAATAAAATATAAGAACAGTTAATTATTACTATTCAATTTCCCCTCACCGACTTTAATTTCCGTAATCATTATAACCTATACATATTTATACCAAGACCCATCAAAATGACTTTTATAATAATTTATATATCATCTATGCAATGATGGACATCAATACATATGTATACGTTCATTACATCGTAAAAACAGCCAATGGATTGTAAAAAAAAGTCCTTATGAGCGCAGATCTTGCCAAATTCGATTGTGCAATAAAAGCAGAGCGTGCATGCAACAAATATGTTTGTGGCGAGTGGTCAACTAATATAACATGTACATTGAAAATATGTGCCTCGTTCAAATAGAAACTGTTTTTTTTTTTTATATAAGTACTTAATGAATTACTATATTAAATGCTGTTATTGCTAAATTGTATTCTTTTATTTACTTAATCTAACTCAAAAGTTAGTATGAAAGCCATAATCAAAAATCCGTAAATTTGACGGTTGCGGTAAAACTAGGTATATATTTAACATCGGTAGCTCTAGTGTTAATTTATTTTTAGTACTTTTTATTTTTTAATTTTTTTAATTTAAATTACTTTTTCTCTTACTCTGTGAAATCTTGATTTAATATGGGATCCACTCTTTCACTCAAATTGAACTATAAGTGCGACGTTGTTTTATTCATCATATTAGTGTATTAGAAAGTACATATAAATATCCAACATTTTTACTGAGACCTTTTCTCTATTGCCGACAAATCCAATATAGCGATTTTCGATTAAGTTTATATTAATATAAACTATATATATAATGATATCAATGGTTAGATTCATTGACATGGATTCTTCAATAAGAGCGCTACAAAAGATTTTTAAGTAACACAAAAAGGGTTTGGGATATCATTGAAATTCTTTCTTATACATTCGATGCCATTATGTTTGGAACTCGATTTCTTTTGCATGGTCACCACGCGCACGGTTGCGAACGTAAAGACACTGAACACAGTTTCCGACGGATTTTCAAGCATAAAACGACCGTTAACGCTGCAATTTCACGTTCGATATTCTTACGAAGTTCATCAATCGCTGTGGGCTTGTTGGCATAGACCATAGACTTGCCGTTGCGCCACAGTATCACAGCCAAATCACAAGACGGAGGCGGCTAATTGTTTGGGCCATTTCGTAAGATACTCGTAACACGTTTATCAAGCATGATTTTCAATAAATAAATTGTTATATTCGCTGTGTGGTTGTGGCGCCGTCCGGTTGGAACCACGTATTGTCCAAGTCCATATCATCCAATTCGGGCCAAAAATATTCGGTTATCATTGAGCGGTAGCGATTCCTATTGACAGTAACGTCCCGGTCTTGTTCATCATGAAAGAACTACGGCACACGGATTCAGATTTGGTGAATACGGTGATTGGATCAATGGTGAATACGTTTTTGGCTTTACATTCAGTCACAATCATGGCTCGATGCGATAGTGCATTATCATCGTGTAAAATCAACAAATAGAAATCCTTATTGAAGAACCACGAATATCGAAAAAAACAAAGAGCATCGCCTTGATTTTTGAGCGGCTTTGGCGTGTTTTTTTTTTTATACTCTCGCAAAAAAGTTGCTAAGGAGAGTATTATAGTTTTGTTCACATAAGGGTTGTTTGTAAGTCCTAAAACTAAAAGAGTCAGATATATGGTTACATATACCAAAGTGATCAGGGTGACGAGTAGAGTTGAAATCTGGATGTCTGTCTATCCGTCCGTGCAAGCTGTAACTTGAGTAAGAATTGAGATATCTTGATGAAACTTGTTATGCGAGAGTATAAAATGTTCGGTGACACCCGAACTTAGCTCTTCCTTACTTGTTTTTTTGTTTCGATTCGTTTTTGTCCCTCCATTCCGATGACCGTGCACTTGTTTAGTTGTAAAACTCATAAACCTACATTTGTATATCTCACCGGGAGTTATAATCCTCTCCATAAATGGAATGGAAATCGGAACTCGCACTATCACTCTTTTTGGAAAAAATTTCAACTTCATCAGGACAAGTCGAGTAAGAACGCATTTCATACCTAAAATATCCACCAAAAACATTCGAACGGACTCGCGAGAGATGTCGAACTCTCTTGCCAACTCTCTCAAACTTGCCTGATAATTTTCAAGCACCATATACATATTTTCATCAGTTGAAGAAGGTCGTCTAGAATGAAGCGTGTCTTCAACGATCTCTCAACCGTCTTTTATGGTTTCTTACCACTCTTAGGCTTGTTTTGGTTTAATCACCACAATTATTTCGCACACGAAATTTGGTTATAAATACGCAATTTTCAAAATTCTTTGTTCGATATTCTTACCCATTTTAAAAATCGTAACGCCCTGGTACACTGAGGTGTACCGACTTAAGCATCTACTGTAAATAAACTGGTTGACATTATTTTTTTTATTTTCCGTAGCTACCACGTTCTACATACGTGTTAAAAATGCTGATGGCTGAATAGTTGAAATATTTCACTTTTATTTTATTTAAGATATTAACTATTATGTTTACTAAATATCCTTTAGTAATTTTAATCAAACATTCTAATGTACTCGTATCAGCTCTTTATAGGGGTTTTGCTTGGAATGGAAAATGTTATAATGAAAATTCAAATATTACACATACATACATACTATGAAATGCTTACGCTTTCATCACACTTACCAACAGGCAAAGCAACCAACCATACACCAACAGCGACCAAATTCCGATGCAGAAGGACAACATAATGAGTCGTCGACGACATTAGGGGGAGACGCACTGTCCTCACTTCCTCAAGCGTCATTCAACTATATAAATTCCATTGTCGGCAGCGGCGTCATTGGCATTCCATATGCACTTCATCGCGCTGGCTTTGTACTGGGTTTGATTCTGCTGATATTGATTGCTTACATCACGGATTACTCACTCATTTTAATGGTACGTAAATCCAGAATACTCTAAGTTATAAATGTATCAAATTATCATCAAAACAAACCACATATACACTTGTGCTCACACAATTAAGCTACATAAACGTTATGGTGTACAAATTCATAAAAGT